TTCCCTCGGCGGGGGGGGGGGAGCCGGGTTAGGGCACTGCCAGCCGGCGTCGGCTCCGTTTTGAGGCTGTTCCCCGGCTTATTGGATAAGTGGTGCTGCTAACCATGTCCCGGCCCTGGTTGGGAAACCCACAGAGCTCAGGGCAAGGGTCGAAGGACCAAAAATAATCCCTGTTTATTTTTGCAATGGACTCCAGCTATTTGCTAATGAGTGTTTTGGATCATGACTCGGTGTGTTCAGAACGTGCCAGTGTTTAATTTTTTTTTTTTTTTTAAGGACGTTCCCAGGTGGGCAGCGTGGCTGGGGAGGCAGCGGGCTGGGGGTGAGGGATCCCAAGGGTTGTGTAACCCTGGCATGCCTCCTGCCCTCGCCCTGCTCCGAGGGCAAGGTTTTCCCACCTCTCAGCCCGGAAGAGGAGAGGTAGCAAAGACCTAACAGCCAGCTATTCTCTCTTCTGCCTTATTTCCCTCCCCTCTGCCCCAAAAGCCAACAGCCCAGCAAAAAAAAAAAAAAGAAAGGAGAAGCCCAAGCCCCTCTGGACTTGGGTGGATTTTTCCCCCAGGAGCCAGGCTTTGGTGGAGTTGTTCTGCTCCAGAACAACTGCCAGAGCCAGCCTCGGCAGAGGGGCCGGGAATTGGCAAAACCACCGTGGGCACTGGTGTCTGCTGTGTGTCCTTGTGACAGTCCCTGAGGTCAGAGCTGGGAGCCTGTTCGATAAAACGTGCTTTTAGTTCTCAGTAGTGAAATAGAAGTCCTCAGCTCTGTCCTTGCCTTTTCATTGCAGCAGCGCTGAGTTCTTGCATGCTAACAAAAAGAAAAAAACCCAAACCCCAGTGAGTTGTGTCCTGTGAGCACTGCAGGTGAAGAAATAGATTGCTTTCTGAAGGGCGAAACTCCCACCAAAGCTGAAGTACTACCGGCCTGGGTGTGGGCCAGCCCGTCTGAGCGAGACTTTCTGCTCAGCAGCGAGCAGAGCTGTCAGCATCTGGGTGGTTCTGCACCTCCACCGCCATCATCTGCAGCCTGGATCCGCTCCGGAGGGTCCCACCTGGCACAGGTTTCCACGAGGGATAACGTGCCGGTTTGGGGTGGTAAAAAAGGCGGTGAGCAGCTCTGAACGCTAATCGTGGTGGGGACGTGCTGTGTTTGGCGCTGTGTGGGTGCGAGGCTGCTCTCTCGCCCAGCTTTACAGGCTGATGTGTTAGCAAGGGCCCGGGGACTAGAGCTCACGGAGGGTTTTTGGCTACAGTGGAAGGTGCAGGTGTGGGCGTTCATGTTAATACAGATTAAAGTTGCTGCAGCGGCGTTGCTAAGAAGGCATTTTGCTTTGTGTACAGAGCTGGTTGGTGAGAACAGGGCAAGTCCCTGGAACTGCAGTATCAGGCGAACGATCAGGAACTCGGTGTCTGATTCCTGGGCAGGCAGATTGTTTCATCTCAGCGACGTGACGATTTATGTGGCTTACTGTTTTTTTTTCTTAATACTGACCGCATGCTAGCTGTTCTGTAAAAAGTCTCTTTTTTATGTTCTTTATACGTGATCCTAAATCCTTAGGCCAGTTCACATCCAGTCTGCTCCATTAAGGAAACTGGATCTCTGCAGTCCTTCTGATGAAGCAAGGTTTATGCCTCCAAGGAATTTCCAGATGAGTTATTTTTGGAGGCCCTGCAGAAGTGTGGCAGCCCTGGTGATTCAGCTGCTGACTTGCTCTTCTCTCTGAGCAGAGGCAGAGCCAGAGCAGGGCAGGCAGGGAGCAGTCCAGAGACTTAATCTCTTTCATAAAATCACCTACAGGTGGGGTTTTCCTGCAAAAGAGCTACTTTTCATTACTCTTGGTTTTTCACAACTGGTATGTTCTGTTACTTCTGGGTTTAAAAGCCTGCAGAACAGCCCATGGCACCTAGCAAGGGAATAGCTGGTTACAGGTTGAAACCCAAAATGTGCAGATGAAGGTGGTCAGTAGGGGATTTGTTTGCTCCGAGTGCAGGTAACTCGCAGCGTAACTGCACCGTATCCCTTCCTAGGGTAGCTAGGAAGTTCGGTGGTGCTCGTTGCACTCTGCTCATGTAGCTGAAAGCTAATGCGTCCTCTGAGATCACTTGGCCATTTGCTTTTTAGCTTTTAGAGCTGTTGCTTGCAGTTCAGTGCAGTGAATATCCTCAGATAGCATATGACACTTTTCCTTACGTGTTCCCTGGAAGCAGAAAATGAGGGTTGTGTTGGCTGCACACAAGTCTGCGGTAGCACAGGCTCTTACTGTGGAGCAGAGGTAGGTGTTTGATGGATTTTTGAAAGTGAAAGTGTTCATTTTTGATGGATTTTTGAAGGTGAAAGGGTTTTTTTTTTTTTTTTTTTTGACATGGCATGATTTTAATGATTAAAAAAAAATGACAGCACCGGTCACTTTTCTGTGGAACAGTGAAATTTTTAAGGAGATGCAGGGAAGTGGTGTTTGTAGAGAGCAGAAGCATGAGTTTTAGCAGTGTTTTCTCATTAGGCTCGGTTGCTTAGATTCCTGTGCACACTCAAGGATGCATCGGCATGCTTTATTGATATTAGTATATGTTTCTTATTCCTAAAATTTAAAAAAAATTTTTTTTTTTACATAAGAATTCGAAATGGGTAGTTTTGTCCATGGAGAAGAGTTGGTGACTGAACTCCAGGGAAAATCAGATTTTCTCCTGGCTTTGACTTGTTCAAAGGCAAGCGTTTCTAGCAAGTGCTTAATCTTTAATCTTTTCCTGCCTATATCAGATTTAATTTTGGTTACACTCAAAAGCACAGGAGCCATTTCGCAAGGCATAGGAACAGAGGTGGTGTGTGTTATAGAGCCAAGAAGGACAGCCAGTCCACAGTCCGACCCCCAGAGTAGTGCAGACCCCAAAAGGTGCTCAACCTCCCTCCTCTCCCAGCAGTCTATTTTTGTGCTAGAGCACATGTTTCAGAAAAACATGGTGTCACGAAGAAGGCCGGCGGCTGGTCCCCCCGCCGCTGCGCAGGATGTGCCGACAGTCACCCTGCCGTTATTGTTTTCACCCGCTGGTGGTTATTTTTAGCATGAATTTGTCTAGCCGAAGCTTCCAGCCCTGGGATCTTTCGTATACCCCCCCCCCCCAAAAGGGGCAAGAGAGGCTCCTCATGGACATGATTAGAAATATTACTTTCAGGTGGTAGATTTTCTTTTCTTTCCAGTTATTTGCTGTAATCTTTCAGTTGCCTGAGTCTAACCTGTTTAATGCAGGTTTTGTTCAGTTTTCTGTTGGCAATAGTCCTTATCAGAGCGTTGTCTGGGGTTATGTCAAATGTTTTACAAAAGTTTTATGTGTACCATCAGGTGTTTTGGTCAAAAGTTTTTACATTTTCTCTCAATAAAAATAGTAAGCTTGCTCGATAGCCTGTGTTTCATTAAATCGTGTTAACTGGTATCAGTGAGGCTGCTCTTCTTAATTTTTTACTTGATTGCCTTCTGTGCAGACCAGCATGGGTGGCCAGTGAAGTGTCATTGCTGCTGCTTATGCTGGGGATCTTCAGGTTGGGCTTCAGGTGTCTTTGTAGGAGATCCAAGGAAAACTGACTGTTAAGGGGCCAGACTTTGGATGACTGGGCTTCATTCCTGGTTCCCTTAATTGTGATACCTTTCATCTACTGCTGTCTGCTTTGCTAGATTCATACCTGCTCCATCTCCATACAATAATGTGGAAATAGTACAAGTCTGCATTCCCCAGAGCCTTATTTCATTTCATATTGAGATTATTTTCTGTGATCTTGGATCCACAGGGATGTGGGGCTGTATCTGCCACACTCTGCCCGTGCTTGAGGTCTGGGGTCTCGTTTGGGTTCCCATTCTGGCATCACCGAGACAGACTAGGGATCCTGGTGTGGATTTTCCCTGTCTGTCTTTCCTGCAGCAGTTGAAAGATGGGCTCTGGCTAGCGTGGTGAGGCTGACCCATTCTCTGGGCCACGTGAACCTTGTGTGCCCAGGCAGCGCTGCGCCCGGGAGCCAGAGCCCGAGGGGCTGGACCCTCTGGTGTGGTGGTGGCACAGGGCAGGGTTTGGCATTTACTTATGCCAAGGCACAACAATTCCTCTTTCCCTTCCTTTGTCATTCTCCCTGCACCTGTCTCCTGCTTCCCTGTCTTGATTCCTCCATCACTAGATTTCTGGAGTTGTCTTTGCTCTTGTTCAAGTGGTGTTTTAACACGTGGGATTCTTGCTGCAGGTGGGGGGGTTCGGTGCGTTACCAGAACATAAGTTATAAAAATATTAAGATGATAATAAGAAGAAAACCTGAATGCATACCCTCAGAGTTACTATGTCTGTGGCACTTTGAGCCTAAGCTACACATAAAAACATGGAACATCAACGTTTAACAAAATAAGCATGATGAAGGGGGGTTACAACCACAAGCTTCTAACTAGTGAATAATTTGATGGGGGGGGGGGGGAATTCTGGATGAGTATGCTGTGTTGGAGCACTGCGGTTTAGAGCTCCTATACTTGTCATTTGAAGAAGCAGGGTTTTATTGAAAGCTAATCCTTTGCTAAAAAATCTCTAGCTAGGAAAGTGATCGGTTTTGGACTTTGAACTTGCAGTGAAATCTTTTGACATATGAAGAGAATGTGGACTTGGTGTCTTTTGAAAGCTTGATGCAGTAATCTTGCAAGGTGGGAACACAAATGGATGGTTACTTCTTTACCAATTTAAATGCTATCATCTCTAGTTGCTTAGTTAATGAAACATTATGTTAGTGCATTTATTTCATGGTGCTGAAGTTTACGTCACCCACCGTGATGCCAAACTCTACATTTGTCCTCTATTCCTTTGCCAGAACCTCTGATTTCATCCACTGCTTTTATGAGTTGCCTTTAGAAAAAGTCTTATCTTTTGAAGTCAGGAGATCAGCATAAAATCAGTGGTGGTAAGATACAAGCAGCTAATTGAGATACCATTGATCTGGCTGCTCTCTGATGTTCGTTAACCTCTCGGTGCTGTGTAAACAGAACCACTGCAGGATTTCATCCCCCGTATTAGTGTGCTGGAAGCCTCTAAATCCTCCTGTAGCCTACCCTGGCCTGCAGCCTCGAGGAGGTACACGACCTGGCTTGTCAGAACGCACCTTCCCTGCAGTAACTCTTACAACCCCGTCTTTCCCACAGACCTGGAGGAGTTCGTGAAATACAATGACCTGTTATGCTTTTCTTGCTTTACGGTGAAATGCTTCTTAAAGGAGTCTTTGTCTCCAGGACTAGAAGGATTTTGCTACTGTGCCTTTTGCTTTAACTGCAGTTAAGTCTTTCTAGGTATGCACTTTCACCGAGTAGAAGTTGCATGTGAGTGGCAGTTTCAGGCTGGGCAAGGGAGTAGTTCTGGGAAGTACTTGGAAAACTCTGCCAGGAAATAGTCAATGTTCTTTACCAGTTTGATTGGAAACCTCAGTGGATTGCACAGCCTTTACGTCGTTTAGGAATGAAACTCATCTCGAGGAATCACCATTCTGAGAGCTGGAGAAGTTACTGTCTTTTGGCATCAAAAGTGTGCAGCCTTGTATAGAAGAGGAGCGGGGCTGGATGGGCATGCGTTCGGGCTGGTAGTGCTGCTGGGGAGCTCCTGGCTCCTGGCTGCTGATTCTGTTCCCTGTGTTGGCCCAGAAACTTGGAGAGATGCTCAGCTGGATTAGTGTGGATTTTTTTCTTTTTCTGATATTTATTTATTTATTACTTTGAAAAGCAATTTTCTTCATGCCTGGTGTTCCTCCCAGGTACTATTTTCAAATGGGCAGCATTGCTGGTGGAGCTCGCAGTGCTGCTGCCGGGATGCTCTCTGCTGTCGTGAGGCTGGAGCAAAGAAGTGGCGGAGGT